CCTTTGTCTGGGGATTCTGACCCTAGGGATGATAACAGGCCAGACAGCTCTCAAGGTGAGGGGGCAGGGCAGGGCTGAGCACTGTACAGCCTGAGCTCCCATCTGTGGTGACCTGAATGGGTGGCAGGTCCCCTCCTGAATCTCTGCTTCCCCCCAGTGCGAGGAGATGAAAGCCACGGTGATCCGTCACGGGGAGACCCTGCGCCGCACCAAGGAGGAGATCAACGAGCTGAACCGCATGATCCAGAGGCTGACCGCCGAGGTGGAGAACGCCAAGTGCCAGGTACGGGGCACGTGCACCCTAGACCACCAGAGAGGCTGGGGGCCTGGCCTGGCTTCCACAGGCCATAGGGACTCCACCATTCATTCCCCAGCCCATTTGCATGACTAGCGTCCTGGGTGTGATTACCAGGGAGACCCAGTCCATGGAGGTGAGGGGCCTGTTTTGGGAGTGTTCCCAGCTGGGTGTGAGTGACTGGACACATACAGGAAATTGACAGAGAGACCTGGGTCCATAACCTGCCTTGTCCTCTTCCGGCCCCCAGAACACCAAGCTGGAGGTGGCAGTGAAGCAGTCGGAGGAGCAGGGCGAGACAGCCGTCAGCGATGCCCGCTGCAAGCTAGCCGAGCTGGAGGCCGCCCTGCAGAAGGCCAAGCAGGACATGGCCTGCCTGCTCAAGGAGTACCAGGAAGTGATGAACTCCAAGCTGGGCCTGGACATTGAGATCGCCACCTACAGGCGCCTGCTGGAGGGCGAGGAGCAGAGGTGAGACCCTAACTGGCTAAGCTGCCATTTCTGCCCCATAAAGGGCCAAGGATCTAGGATAAACCTGTCCTTGATCACTTTGGGGTAGTGGTCAATTTGGGATGGCTCTTTCCTCAGACCTCTGCTCCTCCCCTCTTGACTTGTCGACCCAACCTGCAAAATTTATGGAGCTCTGTCTGCCACTCTGGCCAAGTCACTAATCCTGCTCTGTTTCTTCTTTCCTCTTAGGCTGTGTGAAGGCGTTGGGGCCGTGAATGTTTGTAAGTAACAGGGGCCCTGTATGGGTAGGTTTACTCTCTTGCTTTAAAGGATGGCAGACTCTGGAAGGAGGGATTTCACGGGGAGCTAAATATAAAAGGGCTGGCATTCCAACAGAAGGGGTTTGGGGTCAGAGAACAGGAAAGACCGCAGCTGTGGCCTGGGGGGACCTGGAGCTGTCAAGTAGAGATACTTGGGGAGGGGCATCCTTGGGATGGGATAACTGGCCATCAGAATTTTGACTCAGGCTTTGGGGTCCGCAGGTGTCAGCAGCTCCCGGGGTGGAGTCGTCTGTGGGGACCTCTGTGTGTCGGGCTCTAGGCCCGTGACAGGCAGTGCCTGCAATGCCCCCTGCAGCGGGAACCTGGCGGTGAGCACCGGGATGTGTGCCCCCTGTGCCCCCTGCGCGCCCTGCGGCCCCTGCAATTCCATCACATCGTGTGGACTGGGCACTGGGGGAGTGGGCTCCTGCGGCATCAGCTCCTGCGGCGTAGGCTCCTGTGTCAGCAGCTGCCGCAAGTGCTAGGTGCCCCAGCTCAAGCCCCGACCAGCACCTCTCCTTGCCCAGCAGGGCCTGGTCCAGCCCTGGGGGAGCAAGCGCTGGGTTACTTCTCCCACACTTTGAAAGGTCCGTCCTGCTCCTAGTCTCTTCCATGATCACCTCTTCCTACGCTCTGCCCCCACCCAACCACCCCATCCCACCCCACCCCATTCCTCGCTGGGAAAGGCTACCCCAGAAAAAAGTCCCCTTGGTGCCCACAGGAAGGGGGTTCCAGGGCAGGAAGGACCAGATCCAGGACCCTCTCCCGGGCTGCCATGGGGCCAGTGGCCAGAGTCCCCCAGCCTCTCCCCTTGTTCCTCTCCATCTTGATCTGTGTTTCCAATAAATCAATGTAGCCAACTCTGGGTTTTGTGTTCACCTCTGTTATCCTCGAAAGTTGGAGTTTGGGAGGGTCCTAAAAGTCCCATGGAGCAGAAAAGGCCTACTCTGGGGTCTTCAATATCATCTTCTGTCCCTGGGCTCACAACAGTCTGAGATCTAGCCAAGGGTTGAGCTGGGCCTACACACACTGCAGTCTTATTCACACCACCTTGTTGATTTCATCCACATCACTTTTTATGATGCATCTGGCAGATGAAGAAGCCAGAGCTCCGAGACGCTTGGTAATGGGGTTCCATGCTGAGGTCAATGGTACAGCTGGGGTTTGAGCCTATGTGCATCTCTAAAGCTCATGTCTCCAAACCACAGAAAACATCCCGTGCACTCCTAGAAGCTGGTGGATAATGAACATTAGACTCTCCAGTCACTCAAAGCTTAAGGAAACCACTATTGTTGTTGTGGTAGGGACAACTCAGGGCTGAGTAATTTATTAGAATTTTTTAAAGTACACGGACATAATTTAAACTCTCAAAAAGCCTTTGATATTGCGACTTTTTAAAAAATAGAGTCCTTTGAGGCTTGGAGACCTGCCATCACTGGTAAATTACCTCTCAAACAGCACCTAACACGAAGATGATGTGGCAGAGAGGTGAGCACACACACTCTGGGGCCAGACGGCCTGGGCTGTGTTCACTGAGTGACCTTGGACAATTTACTTACCCTCTCTGAGCTTCAATTTCCACATCTCTAGTCAGGGCTGATGGGAGGATTGAGGAACTCCGTGTGTGTGTGTGTGTGTGTGTGTGTGTGTGTGTGTGTCGCTTAGTGCCTGGCACAAGTAAATGACAATGTTTATCATTAGTATTATTTTCTTGCAAAATGTAGACACCCCTCCAGGGACCTGGGCCATGACCAGCCCCTATTTACACTTTTTACACTTATATCTGTGATCAGAGATCGCAAGTACAGTGAGAACTATATATGTCTTCCAAAGTCATTGAGTTCCTTCTTCAGGGAAATGTCCCCCCTCTAAGCTCCACTCTGTCACTGATGAGGGTCTTGTAAGAGGTGGCAGGAGTTGGGAGATGGCTCCTTGACCAAGGTGAGTTCCAAACATCCATCTATACAACAGAGAGGATCTAACTTTCCAGTCCCAGACCCAGGCCCAGAAAACTATAGCAGAGATGTTAACCCCCAGCCCTCAGGGCAGCAGAAATAATTATGAATATGTATTGACAGACCAGAAGCCAAAGGCTCTTCTAAGGGGCAGTTTCAATCCCAGGTAACTCTGAGCAGGGCAGAGCCCTGGGAGCGTTCCAGAGTGTGCGATTGTTCTAACCAGCCCTCTGAGCTGTAACATCTGTCAGGACTCCAGACCTGCGGCTCAGAGAGAGACACTAATACAGCTAAGCTGCATCCAACATATTTGAGTGCAATTAAGTGTGAGACAGGCATCAGCAGCCAACAGAGGGCTGACATCTTGAGGTCCCCAAAGCAATGACTGCGCTGGTGACAACCCTCCTCCCTTCAGAAGTCATTCCAACTCATAACGCTTATAAATAGGGAGATGAATGACTCTCCATAAACGCACCAGATAGTTCTCTCCCACCCCAGCCTGGAATGTGGACCATGGCCAGGGGAGCGACTCCGAGAATCAGTCCCCAAACGACAAGTACTACTGGTGGCCCACATGTCCCTGGCTCAGCAAGTGATTCCAACCTTCCCCCACAGCCCCCGGGATCTCTTGGACTGACGTCAGGCATGGCATTTAGAAAGGAAAAATGGAGGCAACAGCCAGACCTCTGTGATGCAGGCTGCAGTAGGCTCCTCAGAAATCCTGCCTGAAACTCCTGGGCAAAATGCCCAACCAAAAAATCTTGCAGAAGGGCAAGCTCTCTTTCCAGGAGCTGATTTGCACCGGGAGCGTTGGTAAGAATGTTTATATTGTTGGTGTTAGTCAGTATGGATCAAATGGGGCTGCTGCAGGAGTCCAGTGGGGCCATGTCCCCTACCTTTTAAGAGGTGGTAGTCTGCTGACCATGTTTCCATCCCATCCCTCTAGCATGAGATTCCTCTCTTTACCCAGGAAGGGAGCCTTTTAGATACCTTTGGGCAGGGACCCAGGAAAACACAGCAGGCACCCTAGCACTGGTATACCTTACCAGGTAAAGCCAGAGCCTCGTTCCAATGACGCACCTTAGCCCTACTCAGGGACTTAGAAAGCAGAAACCTTTGTTTCCCGGACACACTGATGATGTAAATCTTTGTGCAATAGACAAGAATGTGAGCTCAATAGATGGGGGCATCTCTCAGGCTGTGTGCTAAGTCAACAGCTCAGAAACCCAGACCTTCACTGGCCACCCAGCCCTCCACACTGGCTTGTCTTCTGTCCTCTACAGTCCAGTTAGTTACCTCTTGAAAACTCAAACCCAACTACACCATAGACCTGGAGTTAGAAGCAGAGCTGGAACCTCAGTCTGATGCCAAAGGCATGCTTTCCTCCACCGTAATACATTGTTCCCAGCCCACCATCAGGTCACTTGTGAAACTAGAACTCAGGCCTGAGCCTCCCAGTTGTGCTCATATCCCCCAGCCCCAATCTGCAGGGGCCATCTTCCCTGGGCCTGTTCAAAGTGCCCCTGACTGGGCACAGAAGGCGTGCCCTCATCCCTGGCCCACTCCGTTCTCTTTCTGGTCTGTTTCCTTGTTTAGAATTCACCTCCCCACCAGAATGTCATCTCCAAGGAGCCAGGACTAGCATGTCATCTTGCACACCAAGCACTATGCCTGACCCCCTAAGGCCACTCTGTGTCTGTAGTCAGTGAGTGGATGAATGGATGCAGTTCTCAGCTCCTCTGCCAGAAAGAGCTGACTATGGACTCCAGGCTAGGGTGGTTGCTTCTGGGTAGTGTCCCTACCCCAAACTTGGCCAGATTTGTCTTTGTTCCGAGGAATCCAGGGGCATAGGCAGTTCAAAGGGCAAAACTGAGACTTTATGCTCCAGGGTGAGGGATACAAGGGAGAAATGAAGTGAGGGCTGGATCCGTGGGAGGGGCGTCTGAGACAGAGGACCAAGCCTTTGGGACAAAGGCTACTGTTCTTGAAGCAGGAGAGGAAGTGCTCAACATCCGGGGAAGTCTCTGCAGCCGAATTCCCGGACACAGCCAGAGGAGCCTCAGAGCGGGCTGCTGCAGCCAGGAGTGCTCATCTCTGGGGCGTCAGAGCCTGCTCCTGAAAAGTAGCAGGCGGTCAGGGCCCCAGGCCAAGCCGGGCAGGCAGGTGAGATCGCTGTCCAGGGCTGAGCAGAGAGTGGCTGTTGGGGAGGAGGGTGGTGGGAGGAACCCCTTCCTGCCCTCCACCCCAAGAGACAGACCTACCAGCAAGTCCCCCAGGAAGCACTGCACAGACCCTCCTCCCTACTAGGCGTCAGACAGGCCAACTCCCCAAAGTAACAGATACACAGACCCCCTTCTCCCAAGAAACAGACTCAAGAATCCTTCCTCTCCCAAGTCGGACACAGATCCCACCCCCACCCCCAACCACCCACCCAAGAATATGTCTTGCCCATAAGAATAAGGTCTCAGAACTTCCTTCCACACCCCAGGCAGAACCAACAGAACCTCCCTGCCAAGAACAGACCCCCGAACCCTTCCCCCATATCCCCCCAGTACACACAAACACAACAACTCACTCCCAAAAGAAGAAACCTCCCCTGACAGAGGAAGACACACAGAGGAAGCAGAGCCCTTCTCCCTTCCAAAGAGGATGCACAACAAAGGAGGGCAGATAAGATTTGGCCCCTCCAACCGAAGCTATCCCTGCTGTTTACTTACTGAGGCTCTCTGCTTCCCCTCTCAGGCTGACCCTGCAGAGAGGAGGAGGACACAGGTAAGTGGATCTATCTCTTTGGTGTAATAGTCCCCATTCTCTTTTCTACAGAAGTCATTCATCCTGCACACTCCTTGGTTCTCTCAGATCCCCACAGCCCTTTTGAGTGAAGGCTCCTTTGAACCTTTAAATTCAACTCTTCCTGCCATACATTTAAATAACTCACTTTTATTGATGACTTCTAGGGTCAGGGAGAAGGCAAAAAAATCTATACTTTGGGGGGGACTAAACATCTTGAAAAGGGATACCATGGTTGGGGATGCATTTTAAAGGAGGCCACAGAAAAGACAGCTCAATTATCTGAAGAATATTGTTCAAGCCTCACTTAACCTCTTTCTACTTATGCATCCCGGAGGTAGTCCTTTTGCCCTCTCTGAGACCCTGTTTCCTCATTTGATACCAGCATTTCTCCTATGGTGGTGTGGGTTTAAGAGAAATAATGTAGCATGGCTGCATGGTGGACTCCCTCTCCCTCCTCCCCTCAGCCTTTGTCCCCAGCTGGATGGAGCTGGCAGTTTTTTAGTCCCTACTGCTATCTAAGAGTAAAAACCAGTCCCTCCTGGTTCCCACAAACCCTGCCTTCCCCAGGTCCCAGGAAGATGGGCAGAACTGAGGAGAATTCCTCCTCACTGGGACCTTATTCCCCTGGCTGGGCCTTGCCGCTGCCATGATGGACAAACTAGCCCCTGCTCTCTGGTCCTGGGGATGAATGAATGTATGAGTTGCCCCAACGCAGGTGCCATGGTGCTCATTAGCCTTCCATAAAGGGCTGTTGAATAGTGGGAACAAACTGCCTCCAGGAAAAAAAGTCCCTGGATACTCGGGTCACCATTCCCCACCCCATCCCAGCAGCTGAGGCCCCAGGTAGTGACCCCTTATACCCCGTGTGCTATATCTGAAGCACTGCCCAGCCCTTACCTTCTCTCCTCACCCTCCAGCAGCTTGCGGTAGGTGGCGATCTCAAAGTCCAGGCCCAGCTTGATGACCATGAGCTCCTGGTACTCCCGCAGCTGCCGCACCATAGCCTGCCTGGCCCTTTGCAGGGCAGCCTCCAGCCAGGACAGCTTGCCCTTGACACTGCCAGAGGCACCCTCCTCCTGCAGAGCTCCCTCTAGTTCGCATGGCTGGGGGTGAAGGGAAGGTCACGGACAGAAGGACATCTTTGGTCCCCACCACTATTCCCTCAAGGATCAAGGCCTTCCTCAGAGGCTGGGGAGCCAAAGAGGATTACAGATAGTTGTGTGGAGTGAGCATGCCTGTTCTGAAATGTGTGTATGCGTGTGCGTGTGCGTGTGCGTGTGCGTGTGCGTGTGCGTGTGCGTGTGTGTGTGTGCGCGCCCTATTACCAGGAGGGAGATTTGGGGCCAGCCATTTGGAATGGCTGAGAGAAAGCCCTTCACATCAGTATGGTGACACTTCTGATATGAGCTCAGGTGGGAGAAGCAGCAAATGCTCCTTAGCACATAATGCTGAGATAATTGTTTACCAGGGGAACTAATAAGATGGTTATCCTGTCCTCACTGAAGACTAGAATGTGTAGTCTTCAGGAGGAAACAATAATAACTGCTTGCCTTGGTAAGATGCTTGCTGCTTAGGAAACCAGCTGGGGAGAGGGGAGGCAGGACTAGAGCTGTGGCTGGTGGAGGACTGAACCCCAACGTACCTACCCTCTCATTCTGCCACCCCTGGAGCCTGAACAGCTCATCTGCCCTTGGCGTCATCAGTTCCTGGAGAAAGGAGAACCCCCTCTCAGAGCCTGGGACACTTGTCTCTGCAGAAAGCAAAAAAAAGACCAAAGCAGAACCCCTTCCCTACAATATGGAGCGTGATTTGGGAAGGCTTGACAAAGAGCGGGCTGGGAGAAAAGAGGAGGTTGCCAGGGAAAGAAGTTGGGGAAAGCAAAAATTCGTGTGGAAACTGTCCTTCCTAAGGCCTAAGCCTGAGTCGCAAACACAAATGCCTACAGAGGCCTGGCTGAGGCGTCCAACGGTCAAGGCCAAACATTAACTATACACAACAGGATCCAGATCCACAGAGAAACATGCATGCTCTCAGTGTCCTGGAATCACCAGCACCACTTTCACATTTCCAGCCCTTCGTTTCTCATTTTGTTAAAATATTTCTTTGGTTTTTGGTTTTTGGTTTTTTAAGAGAGAGAGGAAGGGAGAGGGACAGAGAGATAGAAACATCAATGATGAAAATCATCACTGATCAGCTGCCTCTTGCCTGCTAGGGGACCAAACCTGCAACCCAGGCAGGTGCCCTGACTGGGAATCAAACCACCCACCTCTTGGATCATGGGTCAATGCTCAACAACTGAGCCATTGGCAGGGCAAAAGTTATTTTTTTGTTAATCCTCACCAAAGGATATTTTTCCATTGATTTTTAGAGAGAATAGAAGGGAAGGAGGACCAAGAGAGAAACATCAATGTGAGAGAGACACATTAGTGTGAGAGGGACACATTGATTGGTTGCCTTCTACACTCGATCCAGACAGGGCCTAGGATTGAGTCGGCAACCGAGGCACCTGCCCTTGGCAAATCCAACCTGGGACCCTTTAGTCGCAGGCTGATACTCTATCCACTGAGTTAAACCAGCTATGGCTTATATCTCTACTTTAGATAGAGACACAGCCTCGGCACCTTTTTTCTCCGCAGGGATAACAGTGCTAGCCGAGGTGACGGTAAGTGGCAAAGAACCCTCTGGCTCAATGTCAAAGGAGGCAATCTGAATGGTGGGGCCTGCACACACAAAGGAACATATTCCCTAGCCAAAGGCTGCCATGTGGGACACAGTTAATACTACCAGATCTACATATTTTTAAACAGAAACCAAAAGACCGGATTTCTAGGTAAAATCTTTCCATTTCTAAAGATGAGCTCAAATGTAATGCTATGAAGTGAAAACAGAACACATAGACATAAAAATGTACATACCCATAAAAAATGATATACAAACAAGCACACATATGCATACATATTTACCTACAGGTCAATCATTTACCCATGTGAACTACAGAGAACCGTAGGTAAATGTAAGTATGATATACACATATAGCCACACTCCTATTTGCTCAGGCATTCACAAAGAGAAACTCAATCTATTTCAAAGGACAGGGAGAGGGGAATGTGTTCTAGTTAAAAATTCTGGACACACATCCCTCCCACCACCACTCTGCCAACCGCACTCCCACCCCTAACCTGACTCTCAGCTCTGTTCACATCCACAGTCAGCCACTGGATGGCCTTGTTAAGCCTGTTGAGATCTTCCTTGCTGTACCCCAGGCTCTGCCTGTGTCTCCGCATGGTCATCTTTATCTCCTCACACTGTGGGGTGGGGGCAGCAGAGTAAGAGGGAGGATCAGGGGACGAGAAGAATAAATAAGGGCATTGGGCTGATATTACCATGATGAGCCAAGCTGTAGTCTCTTCCAGGCCTCCCGTGAGCACCAAGCCAAGTTACAGCCCAAAGAACTCCCAGAATCCTCACCTCTGAAGACAAGGCCTCTCCTCGCTGGGGGCTTTATGACCTCACCTTGTTGTTACAATTGCAGAGTTCTGACCTGGAGTAGAAGGGGCAGTTCTGTGAGCTCAGATGGGAAAGTGGAGGTCCCTGGGCTGGAATGGGCCTTGAAGGAAGGTGCTTGAGCAGACCAGCCACATTGCTAGGAGATAGGCGATTTATAGGCGATTTAGGCAGGCCTATCTGTTAGCAATGAGGAAGACAGACATGAGGGAGAGACACGGGGACTGGAGATTCCAGGTCCCATGACTTGATAGGAAATTTGGGGTGATGACTCTAAACTGAAGAAGAAACCAGGGGACTAGAGAGTATGAGCTTCTATTGGCATTTCTTTTTGTTTATAAACTTCTCAGACAAGCCAAAGGGTATATATAACATACATTTAATAAATCAAATCCTTGTGTACCCACCAGTACCTTCAAATCTCCCTGTGGGACCCATCCTTCATCCCTAATCTCATCCAATCTCTAAAGTAATCACTCCTGGGTTTTTGTGTTAACTATTCTCTTGCTTTTCTTTATTATTTTGCTCAGTGCATGGAATTTGTGCACTGGAGGGGTGGGGTCCAGCCTGTGCCCCCTCGCAGTCCAAGACCCCTCAAGGGATGTCTGCCTACCAGCTTAGGTCTGACCCCCGCACCCTCGCCCCACCCCACCCAGGGATCGGGCCTAAGCTGGCAGTCAAAAATTCCTCTTGAAGTTCAAGGATCTCACAGTCTGGGACCCCTCGCTCCTTATTGCCCACCTGTAGCAGAGGCAGGAGAGGCTCCCCCCACCTCCACTGCACTCACCAGCTATGAGCTCAGCTCTTGGCTGAGCAGTGCTCCCCCTTGGGAGCACACTCTCCACAGGGGGCAGCTCCTAAGTTGAGTGTCTGCCCTGGGTGGTCAATGAGTATCATAGCAACCGGTAGTTCTGCAGGTCATTCCACCATTCAGTCATTTTGCATATTAGGGTTTTATTATATAGGATCATGATTGAATAAATCTCCAAGTAATCATTTACTTTTGCCTGCCTTTATGCCATATATATTAGAGGCCCAGTGTTTGAAAATTCATGCACTGGGTGGGAGGGTTCCCTCAGCCCAGCCTGCCCCCTCTAACAGTCCCATAGCCCTTAGGGGGATGTCCTACTGATGGGGAGTGGGCCTAAGCCATAGTATGGCCTCCCTCTGCAGGAGGCCACCAGGATGATCAGAAGGCTCCTCCCCCATCAACCTACTGCTGCTGCCACTGCCATTGCCAGCCACCACAGCTACTGGCCCTCAGCCCTCGCAGCTGCTGAAGTGTTTTTATCAACATGGACTACAGTCCCTTCATCACAAAAAAATGACAACTTTCTTTAGGTATTTTCAAGATGTCTCTTTCATAGGATATGACATTTCTTTTTTTATCCTCCTTGAGGCTATTTTCCCATTGATTTTTAGAGAGCATGGAAGAGAGAGGGAAAGACAAAGAGAAACATCAATGTGAGAGGGACATATCCATTGTTTGCCTCTTGCATGAGCCCGAGACACAGCAGCCACAGGGGCTACTGATCAGGCCTTGCCTCTCTTTCCAGCCCTTGCAGCAGTTGTTGTGGCTGCTATAAGGTCCTGCCTCTCTCTGCGGGCCTCACAGCAGCCACAACAGCTGCTGATCAGGCCCTGTGTCTCTCTCCAGTCCTCACAGCAGCCCCCACAGCTGCTGATCAGGCCCCATCTCTCTCTACAGGCCTCACAGCAGCCACAGCGGCTGCTGATCAGGCCCTACCTCTTTCTCTGGGCCTCTTAAGCCCCTGCAGTTACTAATCAGGCCCTGTGTCTCTCTCCAACCCTCAAAGCAGCCATGGTGGCTGCTGATCAGGCCCTCCCCTGGTGCAGGTGCCTGGAGGCCCCACCATGGCCCCCAACCCACCTGCGCCTGTTGCACATGCAGCCTACTGATTGGTCGTTACTGTGATGGCATCCTGGACAATTTGTATCTTCCTCTATTATTAGTATAGATGGAGAGAGAATTACTCTGCTTATATGCTTTTATAATTTCATTTTTCCTCCTCAACATCCTATTTGTGGAATTCATCCATTAATTTCTTTTTCAGTGCTATAGTATTCCAATGTATGAATAATTCTCTATTCTTCTATGGATATGCATGTGTATATATTTTTTTGTTATAACAATGTTGCTATGAACTCTTTGGTACATATCTACTGGTATGCTCAGAAAGAGGATCTTTAAGGTCCTGACTATCAAACTCTTTTTAACCACAACTCAAAGTAAGAAGTATATTTCATGTCATGAATCAGTATCTGCATATACATTACAACACACACAAAATTATTTGCCAAAGTCATTGTATTAATTTATTATTTGACCAGCAATATATAAAAAACTTATATTCTCTCCAACACATCTTAATTTGCAACAATTTTAATTATGTATATTTTGACCTATGGGAAATTGGAAACCTTAGAGATGAATTCATTAATTCTTTTAACATTGCTCAGTGCCTGCTATGAGCCAACACTGTGCCAGACACTTCCTAGTGCTTGAGAATTACCTCAAGGATCCCAAGCCATCAAGCACCCCTCCTCAATGTCCCCAGCCCTAAGTGCACCAATGCATAAATAGCTGGCATCACCGTGGCAGTCCCTGACACCTTGAATGCCCTCCTGGAGATCCCACCCAACCCTCCAGGCCTGAAATAATGGACAAGAGATTACACTGTAACCATTACAGGAATGTGTGACTTTATTTTAAGCACAGACAGCAAAGAGGAAATGGAGATTTGGGAAGAGAAGAACAAAAGTGCAAGGAAAGGGGAAGGTCGGGAGATAGGGGCAGAGGGGCTGTCCTCTTCATGGGTCCAGGCAGCCCAGAATCCAGAGAAGAAATCCACTCCGTATAGAAATCACTCCTCCCAGCAGCCTTTGTTGGCCTAGAGGAGGCAGGAGACAAGGAGTGGGGTTCTCACACAACCAGAAATGAGATGTAGCCCCAGACAGTTTGGTTCAGTGGATAGAGCATTAGCCCATGGGCCAAAGGGCCCCAGGTTCCATTCCAATCAATGACATGTACCTTGGTTGCAGGCGCCATCCCAGCCCTGGTTGAGGTACATGCGGGAGACAACCAATCAATGTGTCTCTCTCACATCAATGTTCCTCTCTCTGTCTCTCCCCCTCCCTTCCACACACTCTAAAAATTAATGGGAAAATATATGTGGGTTAGGATTAACAATAAATAAATAAATAATAAAATGGAAAACATGATGCTTTTAAAAAAAAAAAAAAAGGAAGGAAGGAAGAAAGAAATGAGAAATAGACAGCAGAGAAAATATCATAGGTTAGGGTGAGGTCAACCAGTTGTACCTGCCACTGGGTAGTACCTGGTGGGTTGGGCATAAGGGCAAGCTGGGACCCTCAGGGTGGGGGAAGTGTTTTTTCAAACCCTGCTTACAGCTGCTGCTACAGGCTCACATCCCACTGTATCTGGTGCCACTGTCCTGGGAGCTGGTCACATCTGCAAAGGGGCAATCAGAATAACTCAGAACCTTTGTGGGGAGCTGGTCCCAAACAGCAGGAGCAGGCTGGCATGGGGGAGAGGCTGGGGACGGTCACCAGAGCAGGTACCTGCAATCGAAGAGAAATAACAACAATAATAATAGCAGTTAGAATTTATTGACCACTTACTGTGTACCAGACATTCTACGAATGCTTTTCCTGCACACCTCACTTTATCCTCACCCTATCCCTGAGCAAATTTTAGGTCTTCATTCTAGATACAAAGGAAACTGGGGCTCAGAGAGGTTATGTAATTTTTCACCCAGATTGTAAGTGGCAGAGCCCAAGCTTGAACCTAGTTGTATTTGATTCCAGAAACACTCTTGACCAATACACCACAGAGAAGGGAGAAGAAAAAAATGTGTTTCTTAAATGGGCACATGGATATTTAAGATGTTTCATAATGATGCCTTAGGTTACCAAAACTAGACACACACATACACACTTCCACACACATTCATTCCATATAGTATCCCCCATCCCTTTGGCTTGCTCACCTCTGATCATGGTCCTCTCCAGGTCAAGCACCTCCAGTGCTCAGCTTGACATTCTATGCCCACTCCATCCATCCACCATATCCACCATCTAGCCCTAGCCGGCCGCCTTTCCCCCTGCCCTCTCTCCACCTCCTATTTTTCAGTTAAAGTGGACCGCCAGCTATTCACATCCACAGCCTCTGTTACTTTGTGTCTTTGCTTACATCTTTCCCCTCTCTCTCATTCATCTCAGCACACTCAGTTCTTCACCATTCTTCAGGTCCAATCCAAGTGTGTTCTTCTCTGAGGACCCTGCCTTGTCTTCTGGCCCCAAGCCCGTGAACTGAGGCTCACTATCCCCCCAACTCCCCTCAGCATAGCGTTCCTCCATGAGAGCCAGACACCCTGCAGCTGTGTATCAGGCCCTCTGTGCCTGCCTGCCTGCCTGGGGCCTGCAGTCTCCTCCTTCATGCCCTGAGCCGGTTCCTCCTGAGTGCCCAGCAGGTGTTTGCAACTTGCATTGTCCCGGGCCTCCTGGGAGGGGATAGGGGTTAAGAAGAAACCTGACAACCACAACAGAGCATTTGCTTTTCATCGGGAGACTGATGGACTGGAGATAAAAGGGGTAAGAAAATGATTTCTATAAGATCTGGCCAAGAATGGAGCAACCCTCCTCTTCACCACAGTAGTGCAACTACCAACCCTCGCTATAGGGAAGTCTCTTCTTGGTGTATCTACATTCTCATGCTGAAGCCCATCTCTTGTGCATGGGTTCCAAGAATAACAAAGAGGAGAGCAGCGCTCATGTGTCCCTGAGGCCAGGTCAGAGACTGGTACTGACACTTTGGGGGATCCCTGTGTTCTAGCTGTCAGACCTCCAATTCCCTCCCCTTCAGCTTGTGCTCTGAGTGGGCACAAATCAACCCGCAGGCCGCTGGTCTCTCTGGGTGTTAATGCACTTAATTATATGGGTGGACAAAGGCTGATTACTAAGCTCATCACTTGTGATAGCACAGAAAGTCCTACCCATCTACTCACCAAAACCCAGAGAGAGGTCCAAGCGAGCATCACATAAGTACCTCCATAGGACTAATTTAAGTCCTACGTGCTCAGGGTAAGGCCATTTCCTCTCAGGAGGGGACACCAAAGGAAGATGTCACCCATACTACCATTCCCTGGAGAAATTTGGAGTAGGCATACATCATCTCCAGGTCACGAGTCACACAGCTAGAGCTGATGACTCCAGCTGCAGCTGGAAGTGAGGGCTCCACCCGCTACAGGGGACACAACTAAGGTTGGGCTGAAACTCCCACAAAGCCAAGGCTGAACCAAAGGGGTTGGGGCCCTCAAGGGTTTGAAAAGGGGGCCGTGGGGCACTCCCTGGAAATGGAATGCCAGGCAGCCCAAAGGCAGGCACTGTAGCCATGATGACCAGGATTTAATTACCCTTTGCATAATAATAACTCATGTTTAAAAACAAAGGAAGCTAAGGATGACTTACATGTTTCTGTTTCATACTGGCTGCTGAGCTCACACTTTGGTTTCCTCTGCTCATAACTGGACACATAATCAACTTCCATTATGACAGGTTTGGCCTTCTGGAGTTGGTGGCCATGACCAAGCACCTGTTGAAGAAAAGGCTTTGGATGAGGCCAATTTCTCTAAAAGCCTAGCAGCCCCAGCACCTGCCTCTAGAGGACCGCAACCCTCCTCAGACTCTGGGAGGGGCCAGTGTGGGGGAGCGCTGGGAGCCACCTTTCAAGCTGACCCTCCCTCTCTATGGAGTCTTCTATGCAGGACCTTAAACAAGTCACCAGACCACTCTGAGCTCACCTTCCTACTCAGATAAACCTCGGGAGGATGAAAAATGCATTTTAAAGGCCTTACACACTGTAGGCACTCCATCAGTGCAACTCCCTCCCCTCCACCTAGCAGCATGGAGAGGGGCCAAGAAACAGTTTCTGGAAGGGAAAGTGGTGGTGCCATACACACAGGGAGAGGAGCCACAAGCTGAGTTCTGAGAAAGAGAGAAGAGAATGATTTTGCCCCCCCCCCCGGGGGGGGGGGCAGGATGAATGGCAAAGCAGTAATAGAATAAAGAGAACAAACAAACGTGTGCGGAGCTTTCAAGCTTTCATTAAGTGCGAGGCAGGGCCCTAACTGCCTTCCTGTCCATTATCTCATTAGGTCCTCCCAGCAGCTCTCAGATGGGTACCATTACTATCCCTATTTGGTACAAGAGAAAACTCCATTCAGAAAGGTTATTCACCTTCCAAGGTCATGACAAGAAAATGGTTCACAGACTTCAGAGACCCCTTCCCTTCAATTCTCTCTCTCTCCAATTCTCTCTCTCTCTCTCTTTCTCACACACACACACACACACACACACACACCACATGGAAATGCACAAACAATTAAGACCAAGGCTTCCCAGCCTGAAGGGTGGTTTCGCAGGCTGGGACCCACAGAGGGGCCAGGTGTGCCCACTGCCCAGCCTGGGGATGGAGCCCAGGCCGAGTCTGGCAGAGGGGTGTCGGGCCCGCCCTGAGCCCTTGGCCCAGGGCGGGCGGAGCTGACCGGGCACTTCTGGGCCCCATAAAGCGCGGGCGAGGGGGCGAACGCTGTTTTATGGAGGCGGCCGGGCAGCCGCCCGCTTTGATTCCCAGTGGGCCTGGGCACCAGGGCCGACCTCCAAGCTCATAAATGCGTTGGTTGCGCGCTCCCTCCCCGGGCCAGCGGGCAGCGATATAAGACTCCGCGCGGACTGCAAGGCTCAGCGCCCTTCCCTGCCGCCGCCGCTGCTGCCGCCGCACCATGTCCTGCCTCTCCACCCGCCTGGGCGGCCCCTGCGGGGTCCGCGCCTTCAGCTGCGCCTCCGCCTGCGGGCCCCGGCCCGGCCGCTGCTGCATCACCGCCGCCCCCTACCGCGGGGTCTCCTGCTACCGCGGCCTCACAGGAGGCTTTGGCAGCCAAAGCGTCTGCGGAGCCTTCCGCTCTGGCTCCTGCGGACGCAGCTTCGGATACCGCTCAGGCGGCGTGTGCGGACCCAGCCCGCCCTGCATCACCACCGTGTCCGTCAATGAGAGCCTCCTCACGCCCCTCAACCTGGAGATTGACCCCAACGCGCAGTGCGTCAAGCATGAGGAGAAGGAGCAGATCAAGTGTCTCAACAGCAGGTTCGCTGCCTTCATTGACAAGGTGGGTGTCCTTGACCTGCCCTTTCCTGGGCCTTCTGTCGCTGGGCTGGGCGCTGAAGAGGAGTCAGAGAAAGGAGGGATGTGGTCCAGGTGAGCTCCCAGTCTGACGGTGGAGATGGGCACAGGAACAGAGGGCTGTATGAGTGTTGGGCAGGGGCTCCTGATTTGATTACAATGTTATTGTACACAACCTCTGTCCAGGCAGGCAGGGTGCCCACAGAGAAAGTTTGGGTGTTCTTGAGCACACCCTTCCTGAGCCTGGAATTCCTGGGAGGACCTAGGATTCCCAAGCTGTCTCTTTAGAAATGGGTGATATATCTATGAGAGAGAGAGAGAGAGAGAGAGAGAGAGAGAGAGAGAGAGAGAGAGAGAGAGAGAGAGAGAAGAGAGAAGAGAGAAGAGAGGAGAGAGGAGAGCAGCATTAATCAGTTGCCTCTTGTACATGCCCGAATGGGGATGGAACCTAGGTATGTGCCCTGATGGGAATCAAACCCAGAACCTTTATGGTATGCTGGATGACACTCCAACCAACTGAGCCACCTGACCAGGGCAGGAGTGCTGATCTTTTATGTGATGCTTTTAGTTAATGCATTAAAGCATTAAATAGCACCTGATGAGAAAATTCCTCTCCTTCCATGAGTGGTTCAATCCTTTACGTGAAGCTGAGAAAATCTTCATTAGGTGCTAATATGTCTTCAGCCTCCCTCCAGTACTTGCTACTCTCCCGATTTGATAAAGAGAGCAAGCTTTGAGGTTCAGAACTGTCTAGGGCCACAGTTTCAGCTACAATTTATGTTTTATGGTTTCTTTTATGAATGCAGAGTGATAATGGTTTTACGATGGCGGTAATATAAAGTTACTCCTTTAATCTCATTTAAGTGTAATTGTTAAGAACATTCATTTATAGATACATCATGAATGAAATCATACAAGGGGATGGCAAAATTGTGAAGTCAGCCAGCGAAGGGCTCCTATTTGAAAATTGCTGCCAGGCCCAGTCCAGCCCTTTGAGGGCAAACAGAACACAAAGGAGACAGGGATACAGGGCAAGGGGCCTGCCCAAGGGCCCTCTGAGTGTGGGTGGCAGAGCAGGACTCCAAGCCCAGACTCTCTCCGGCTTCCCAGGAGAGAGTCTGCCCTCTGACCTCGCCAGCAGGGAAGGTCTCCCCAGCTTGACCATCAATTCAAACACGTGCTCAGCCAGCCCCAGGCCGCCCCTGAGGACAGAGCTAAAGGAGCCATAGGCCCTGCCCCAGAGGAGCTTGGAGTGTAAGGCTTTCGTCCTCCTGTGTCCCTCCATCCCCAGCTCTACATCCTTTCCTCCAGGAAGCCTTCTCGGCCTGTCACGACCCTCCCCCCCTACCTGTCCCCCAGCCCAACCGTAATCCAGCACAACACATATGCCCTCAGCTTCCCCCCCATCCCATCAGGGCCACCTGGACAGAACCTCGCTCAGGCCTGAACAAGCAATCGTCAAACGAGGACTCTGGTGCATCCTCACCCAGGAGAGCCAAGCAGGGTCCATTGCAGCCACCTCTTGCCTCTGCCCAAGGTGGCACTGCCAGTTCTGTCTGACTCTGCCTGCTGTCTGAGGAGGGCTGGGGATGTCGGCTCCTCCCACTGACTTTCCTCCCACCCCCAATGGCAGGTGCGCTTCCTGGAGCAGCAGAACAAGCTGCTGGAGACCAAGTGGCAGTACTACCAGAACCGCAAGTGCTGCGAGAGCAACCTAGAGCCCCTGTTTGAGGGCTACGTCGAGACGCTGAGGCGGGAGGCCGAGTGTGTGGAGGCCGACAGCGGGAGGCTGGCCTCAGAGCTCAACCACGTGCAGGAGGTGATGGAGGGCTACAAGAAGAAGTGAGTGCATCCCGGAGGAGGTTTTGGAGAAAGGAACTGGATTACGTCAGAGCAGGATAGATCCAGGTTAGATCACAAGAAGAACTTTCCACAAGGAAGAAGACAGTGACAGGAAGTTCGTGGGGATTTTTTTTTTTTTTCTGGGATGGGAATTGAAACATTGGAGGGTCTGAGCCACTCCAGTTACCTCATTATTACGTGCTTACTTTATTAATTCATCAAGCAGGTGTTGAACATCTACTCTATGTTGCAGGTGTTGTGTTGGGCCCTGAGGTGAGGTAGGGGTAAGAAAGTAATGAAGCACCAAAACAGGTTTGGCTCAGTGGATAGAGTGTTGACCTGTGGACTGAAAGGTCCCAGGTTCGATTCCGGTCAAGGGCACGTACCTTGATTGCGGGCACATCCCCAGTAGGAGGTGTGCAGGAGGCAGCTGATGGATGTTTCTCTCATCAATGTTTCTAACTCTATCCCTCTTCCTTACTCTCTGTAAATCAATAAAATATATGTTTTTAAAAAAAGAAAGAAAGGAAGGAAGAGCAGTAAGGGGGATGTCAGATGAGGGCAGAGTTCCTGCTCCCTTTGGAGTTCCAATCCAGAAGCAGAGAGAAGGCCTAGGAAGATATATGTGCCTGGCACCCACCCTGGCCCACTCCGTGAAGGAGAATTCCTGAATCAGTACGCACATTGGGTGGCAAGGGTTGGTTTGAGTACTGGGAGGAAAGGGGTGGACGAGGTCCTTTCTGGCCCAACACTTTGATTCCCTGATCACCTCCAAGGGATCCAGTTCCTGGAGTCTGTTTGTGTAGGCCCTCATTCGCTTCTTTTCTCTTCACATCCCAGCCTACTGAATGTCTAGCCACTGAACCTATCTATGCTCTCTGTCCCAGGTACGAAGAGGAGGCGGTGCTCAGAGCCACTGCTGAGAATGAATTTGTAGTCCTAAAGAAGGTGAGTGACCCCAGAAGGCTCGTCCCACCGCTCAGAACAAGGGCAGAGGCAGAGAGGAGCTTTCTGTAATTCAGAGAGGCTGAGCGACACCCCCAGAATCACATAGCCTGACCTCTCCTCCATTCTTTTTCCCAAATTCCCTAATGCTCCCCGGGTGGCCCTGGACACCAGGGCACTCCGCCTGCTTCCGGCAGGGCAATCTGCTCCATCCTGGTAACTCCCACCTCCTTCTGCCATGGGCCTGGCAGAGAGGCACTCAGTAAGCATTTGTGAGTGAAAAAGCACACGAATGCTGGAGTGAATCCTCAGACCAGCCATAGCTGGGAAAGGTGTAAACAGCGCTGCTGGGCCTCATCTCTTAGACTTGATTCATCATTGTGTAGACTCTCCAACCGCCTCCATATAAGGAATGCAAGGGTCATTATGGGGAAACTGAGGCACGGAGGTCCGGGGTCTTGCCCTGAGTCCCACTGGCTTGAAAGAGGCAGAACTGATCACTGAGACCTTTTCTCTGACCACAGATCTAGATTTCTTTCCACGAAACTCTAGAGCAGAGATGGGTAGGGCATCGGTAGAACTGATCCATTTTACACTAGATCCTACGTGTTAGGGATGGTACTCGATGTGGATCCTAGAGGCATCATCCCAGTGGGTGCCAGAGGAAGTGCCTGGAAACCTCAGGGTCTCCCCTCCTTACCAGAACCTGCCCCCTCTCCCTGCCCAAAGGGCATCACCAAGGCCAGGACACCAGGCACGGGGCTGCATAGCTGAGGAGGGTCCAGCGAGTGTAACCCCCCCTTCACCCTTCTACCCCCCTCTTCCGGTGGGAAGAGCTCTGTGTGGTCTTCCCAGGGAGATGCCTGCATGCTCTCTGCCCTTTAGGACGTGGACTGCGCCTACCTCCGCAAGTCAGACCTGGAGGCCAACGCCGAGGCCTTGACCCAGGAGATCGACTTCCTGCGGCGGCTGTATGAGGAGGTGAGAGGGCGGTGAGGTCCTTTCCACCGAGGACTCTGGGTCTGAGGTGCATTTAGAGGCATCTTGGAGGTTGGGCCTACAGACAATGAGTCTTGGAGGAAGCTGAGGAAGGGAACAGGGAAGGACCGTGAGGGGGACACTGTGAGCGCAGGGCTCTGGTCAAAGCCGCTCTTCCCTCACTCCCGCCCCACAGGAGATCCGTGTCCTCCACGCCCACATCTCAGACACCTCCGTCGTCGTCAAGATGGACAACAGCCGGGACCTGAACATGGACTGTGTCATTGCTGAGATCAAGGCTCAGTATGACGACATCGCCAGCCGCAGCCGGGCCGAGGCCGAGTCCTGGTACCGCAGCAAGGTGAGTGGCACAGGACACCTGCCTCCTAGACATGGCAGTGGGAGAAACGTGAGGTATGTATTAGAAAAGGCTGCTTTTGGAGATTCTGATCCTATGGATGGTATTATAATAGGCCAGACAGCTCTCAGGCCGAGGGGGCAGGGCTGCCAGGGGTGGTTGCTCGGGCTGAGCTCAGTACAGCCTGAGCTCTCATCTGTGGTGACCTAAATGGGTGGCAGGTCCCCTCCTGAATCTCTGCTTCCCCCCAGTGTGAGGAGATGAAGGCCACGGTGATCCGTCACGGAGAGACCCTGCGGCGCACCAAGGAGGAGATCAACGAGCTGAACCGCATGATCCAGAGGCTGACCGCCGAGGTGGAGAACGCCAAGTGCCAGGTACGGGAGCCTGGTCCGCCCCTCAGTGTAGCAAGAGAAGGGGTGAAGCCTGCAGCAGGAGCACTCAAGGTTGACACCTTGCCAAAGTGTGGGAAAAGGAGCAAACAGCAAGCATTAGATCAGGGGTCTTCAAACTTCTCTCATTATGAGAATCACCTGGTGGAGTTGTTAAAACACAGATTCCCGGAACCCAACTATAAGAAGTGCTACCAGGAATCTGTGTTTTAACACCTCCACCAGGTGATTCTCATAATGAGAGAAGTTTGAAGACCCCTGCATTAGATGAATCTCTTCTATGGAAAATGACCTCCATTCCACTGAATGGAGATGAGAGGGGACAGTTGGGGGGCGGGGGGGAGAGCAGTAGGAAAGGGAATGGAATGACCAAGATTCTCTTGGTCTTGGAGTCAAAAAGGGGCAGAAGAAAAAGCACTGGTCTGAGAGGCAGGTAACTAAGGCTCCAGTCCTGCCTCTAATTAGCACATGATTTGGGATAAGCCATTTCACCTCTGTGACCCATTGTTCTAGGTCAGTGATCACACACTCAGGTGTCCCAGAGATTAGTAAATGCGTGATGTAGGCACTGGAGTGTGGTAAACTAGAAAGCACAAAGGACAGAGCCAATCAGATCCAACTGAGGCGGCCCTCGTGGAAAGGCAGAGCCAGTGCGTCCAGAGCCTTAGATAGTTTTCAAGAGAAGCCAGGAATTTTGATTTTTGTGTTAAATTTCCAAAATTAAAGACACTGTGCCAACATTCCTGGCGGCACTAAATTGCAACCTCTAGGCTCACAAATGGGTGAGGCGCCTTCTTCCTCTGACAGTCAGTGGTCATTGGATGTCTGGTGTCTGACCCCAAATCCAGAACAGGAGCCTTAGTAAATCCCCCCACCCCACCCCCACCCTGTGCCTCCCAGAACACCAAGCTGGAGGTGGCAGTGAAGCAGTCTGAGGAGCAGGGCGAGACAGCCATCAGCGATGCCCGCTGCAAGCTGGCTGAGCTGGAAGCCGCCCTGCAGAAGGCCAAGCAGGACATGGCCTGCCTGCTCAAGGAGTACCAGGAGGTGATGAACTCCAAGCTGGGCCTAGACATCGAGATCGCCACCTACAGGCGCCTGCTGGAGGGCGAGGAGCAGAGGTGAGAATCTCACCTGCGGGAAGGATGTCTCTCGGATCCTCCCAAGCTGTGCCTAGAGCCAGGAACATGTTGGCTTGCTCTCATCGAATCTGCATCAAGATTACTTGAGAAGGGGATCTGCACACTTCACTCTTCCCCAATTAATGTTTGTCTCTTTGCTCTCCCCGCAGGTTGTGTGAAGGGATTGGTGCTATAAATGTCTGTAAGTAATCGATACTGTGGGTTCTGAACTAAAGACTTGGGGTTCCTACAGGGCAGACTTTTTCCTTAAAGGGCCACATAGTAAATATTTCAGACTGAGGGCCATGCAGTTTCTGTCCCAACTACTCAAATCTGTCATTATAATGTGAAAGTAACCACAACCATAAGCAATATTTCATAAATAGGTCTGGCTGGGTTGTAAACTTCATTTACAATTATACAGCCACAATTGGGAGACCCTGGGAGGAAGGAGAAGAATGTGGCAGTGAATGGTGGAGATAACTGTAATAGCTATTTCTGCCGTTAGAGGGGCCTGGACTAACAGTTTATCCAAGGTCCATCCTTGAGGCTAGACTGCAGGAAGGCATGTCCAGGTGTGGGGGAAGCCAGGAATAAGAATGAAGAGGGGGACCTCGGAACAAGAGAAACGGGCTCTGGTCAGCAAACGGGATGGCTGGCCACCATCTGGCACAGGGACTAAGCCCCATCTTCCACCCACAGGTGTCAGCAGCTCCCGGGGTGGCGTTGTCTGCGGGGACCTCTGCGTGTCGGGCTCCAGGCCCGTGACCGGCAGCGCCTGCAGCGCCCCCTGCAGCGGGAACCTGGCGGTGAACACTGGAATGTGTGTGCCCTGCGGACAGAGCTGTGGCAGTGGCCGCATGGTGCGGTTTGCCTAGTGCCTCTGTCTTTGCACACACACCGCTCTTCAAACGAGCTGGTCCAACGCCAGCTGCCAGCCCCAGCCTGGTGCTCTGGGAGAGTCTGGGCTTGAGCTGGGCTTCGGGAAGCAGCCCTGCCCTGCCCTGCCCTGCTCACACTGCTGTCTTAATTTCTCATCGCCCCCCCCCCCCCCACATTCCCCTGCTCCCCGCTGCTTGTCTCTTCATTTCTTCCAGGGAGGTGGGCTCTTCCTGCTGGTGTGTCTTGGTAATTCTCCCCGCCCCCAAAAGTTTGGATGGCTGGTTTTCTTGAAACCCTGGGCAGAGATCCAATCTTGACTGGGCTGCCCTGGGAACTGGGACTCCTGTGGCTTCTGAGGGGCAGGCTGGCCGTGGGGCCGGCTGGTGTGGAAGTGGGGCTGGTGCTGGCCTCCCCTGCCTCTCAGTCCATGCAGATGGCTGAGGTGCATCTCCCAGGGAGCAGCGCTCTTCGGCTGCCTGGGCTCTCTCCCTTTCCCTCATGCTTGGTCTCCACGTTTCCAATAAAGCTCAGGGTCATAAGTGACGGCTGGAGACTTCCCGTGCATCTGTGCTTCCACGTGTGGACTTGCCACCCAGTTTTCACCCCGATGGAGGCAACAGAGAAGCTGTTCTCAGCCAGAGAGGCAGAGTGGGCTGTCTCTGGGGCACCCTACCCAGGGTGCCACACTCCTACTTCCTGAAGGGTGTGGGGGCATAGGCTGGCAGCCCCCAAACCCAGGCACACAGAGGAGCTGGAAGGGAAGTGAGAAGGGCAACAGGGAGGAGCTTGAGCAAGGATGAGGGTGCTGGCTCCCCTGACACCTTGTGTGGGGACCCCATGCTGCTGAGACACCAGTGGTCCACTCCCTCCACTTCCCCACTATGCCCCCACCCACCTCAACATGGTAAAGTTCCTGACCATGGGATCAAATATACGGACTTCCCCTTCCTCCATAAACCAGTGCTCCTGGGTAGACCCCAGCCCACACACATACTACCACCACCACTCCGAGAGGGTCTCAGAGAGACCTCCCACCTCCTTCCAGTACCCATCGTATGTACTGCTGTCCATACTGGATGGATGGCCCAAGCTTAGGCCACAAAGACACCCTCACAGTCACACAGAGCCCGAGTCAGAGACCAGACACACAGGGGCCCCATCAAGCACAGACCTAGCACACATGCACCCTCTGGGGTTCAATACACAGACTATCCCTCAGCCCACTCAGCCCAGTGGGCACAGAGCCGCTACCAGGGATCCAGACTCTGGTGGCCTCCTCATCTTACTCTCTCTCTCTCTCTCTCTCTCTCTCTCTCTCTCTCTCTCTCTCTCACACACACACACACACACACACACACACACAGAGTCCCAAACACACACAGTCCAGCAGTCCAGGGCCCGGCTGACAAGGCACCAGCTAAGGCTGAGGGCAGCCAGTCTGAGAGTTGGCTGGTCCAGCCAGAAACCGGGGCCTGGGAATGTCCTCTGGCAGCAAGTGCAAGGGGGGCGGGGGGAATCACACAGCCCCACCCTCAGCCGTGGAGGACTCGGCTGCCCACTTCCTGGCAGAGCCACAACTTCCCTGAGGTGTCTTTGGGCTTCAGGAGAAGAGCTGGGACTGGCCCAGCCCTGGGAGGGGGCCAAGGCCTCACACTCCACAAGAGCCACGTTCCTTAGAGCAGCGCCCCCATTCTCCTGCACGAGAGGCTTCCAGTGCCCAGAGCAGACCCGTCCTCTCGAGGCTCCTCCCTCCCTGCCCCCTTCTCTGCCAGCCAATGCCGCCAGGATACCAGGTGCTGGCCAGGGGCTCACCCCAGCTCAGAAAGAGACTGCTTATTGGAAGCTGCTCTCATAACATTCATTAGACGGCTTTGCAGTGTTGGGTCCAGAGATGGACCAGGGTGGGAATCTCTTATGACTCTGGTGGAAGGGATAGGGTGTCCCCACACCTGGGGCTCAGTTGAGGACACTCCTGCGAGTGGCAGATGTGGTCTTCATGGAATAGGCCTTTGGGGTTCCACTTGAGAATCTCAGGGCATTGCTGCCCATGGTCCCCCCAAAGGCCAGTCCGCTGCCACCACTGGTTCCCCTGTAGGTCAGCCCGCTGCCACCACCACCGGTGGTATTCGTCACAGCTGGGGGAGAAGAGGGGAGGACTCAGTCAGCATGGGCCCACCACCCAGGCCCCATCCCCTCACTCCACCCACCCTCCTGCCGGGCTGCCCTTCTCCGCCCACCATCACCTCCCTTTCCCACCCTACCCACCATGGGCCAACCCAGAGGGAGCCTCAGACAGTGCGGGGTGGGGTGCCCCCTGCAAGGCTTCCCTGGGCTGCTAAGTCAGCTCCAGGGCACCTGCTTGAAGCTACTGAAGAGGAGGAGGAGGCAGGCTCCAGATCCTCACAAGGCCCGACCCTCAGGCCCACTTGCCATCCTATAGGTCCGACCCAGTCTGGAGAGCACAAGGAAGGGGTGGGCCGAAGCCAAGGACTTACAGATATTTAGGGTTCCCACTCCATCTCCGGTCAACCTGGGGGCAGAGGAGAGACCTGTGAGAGCAGCCCTCCCCTCAGCCCTGGAGGAGGCACTCCCAGGCCCCTCCATCCAGGCCCCACACAGGATTTACCAGTCTGTCCTCTGCCCCCCACTTCCAGCCTTCCTTCAACCTTGCTGCAAAATGAGCAAGAAGGAGTGGGGAGCAGGGTTCACTTAGGCCCTCCTACCTACCGGCTACATGACCTTGGGAATGTCTTAGGAGCCTCCATCTCCTCACCTACAAAGAGGGCCTCCCTCAGAACCAGCCTCACAGGTGGTTTGCCAGAGTTCAATGACACCATGTACCTAAAGCTCTGGGCACACAGGATTAGGTAAATGGTAGCCCCTCTTATTATTACATAGACAGCTGCCTCCCCTAACCAGACCATAAAATCCTCAAAGCGGGCTGTGTCTCCAGCCCCTGCATGAGGTCTGGCAGGTAGTAATTACTACGTGTTGAAATAATTAGTGTATTGTTGACTGAGTGAATGCAGCTCCAACAGGAACTTGAGGAGGGAATGGGGAGGTAGGAGGGTTGGCTTGAAGCAGCCAGTGGGGCTGAAGCACGTCTCGCACTGGAAATTAAAAATCCGCCCAGGACAGCTGGGTGTGTTTGCTCTGTGACACATAAGCATTCTCACCAAGCCCTTGGCCTTGGGAATGAGTGTGCTCTGCAGGGAGGAGGGGACACCTTGCATTTGCAGAGGGAGTGAGGGAGCCACCTGGCCTCAGCAGCCCTAAGTCCGGGGGGCAGGAGGCAGAGCTAAGGCCAAGGGCAAGAGATAGGTATTTGGAAAGCTTCCAGGCCCCTTGTTAAATGGCCCCTGCAAGTGTGGGGCGTTACTGACAATTGTGGGGTGAGGAGGAAGCCTGGTTGAAATTCCATATAAGAATTCAGTTCCTAAAGAACTCAAAAGGGAACCTGAATATCTCAGGCTCTAGTGATCTGGGCGATTTTTCTTTTCTTCACCTTCTCACCCTTTTCTGATCCTAAATAAATATTTGTTTTGCACCTAATTTTATATTTGTAACTTTGTATTCTTAACTAAAGCCCTCCCCCCCCCCTCAAATTGGATGAGTGGGTGAGTTTCTAACCCTAGACCTGCCCCTGGGAAGGGCTGAGGGATTAAGATGGGGTGCAGAACGGCAGCCCACAGGCCATATAAGGCCTGTGAAATCACTTGGTCTGGCCCTGCCAAGGCATTGAGGTGAGTTAATTAAATGTTTGATCAATTATAGCAGACTAATTTTTAAGTTCATAATTTTGCTGGCCCACGAATGATGGTACAAATATCCAAATGGCCCCTGGCAGAAAAAAGGTTTCCCACCCTGGATTAGGGAATAACAATAAAGTGTCTATCTCCATGTCCCCAAGAGGTGGAGAGAGGACAGCCTCCTCACCTCCTTCCTCTCTACTCCATTCGTTTCCCATCTTCTCTCCCCAACCCTCCGGAATAATGCTCAGAAAAGAAAAGGGCTCAGCATTTTACAGGTCCACGTTACTACTCTCTGAGTGCTTCCTTTGCAGATGTTTTGTCTCCTCTACCCCTCTGCAAGGTCCCCGAAGGCGAAAATATGTCTTACATATTATCTATCTCTGTAGGCCAAGCCATGATGAGTTCTACTTCCAGGAATTTGCTTACACTGCTCCCTCTCACCTTCTTCAAATCCTGACCTTCCCCCAAGACATACTCTAAAGCCTGTCTATTGACTGAATGAATCAACCAACCCACCAAGGTGAGAAGGAAGGTCCAACTTCATGGACATATATTCCATGTCTTTCATGAAAAATTCTGTATAAGACTAACCCATCCCAGCCCAGCTGGCATGGCTCAGTGGTTGAGTATCTACCGATGAACCAGGAGGTCACGGTTCCATTCCTGATCAGGGCACATGCCTGGATTGGGGGCCTGATTCCCAGTGTGGGGCATGCAGGAAGCAGCCAATCAATGATTCTCTCTCTTCCTCTCCTTTTCTCTCTGGAATCAATAAAAATAAAAATAAATAAATAAATAAATAAATAAATAAATAGACTAACCCCTCCAGCCTCCTCTCAGGCTGCAGATGAGTATGCACATATCTCTGGGGACAGGGAGAAATCAACCTCCTCCAGCACATTCAGCCAATACCACATGACCTAGCACTTTACATAGTCAGAAGCAGGCTGGGGTTGTAGAAGATGCTTAAACCAGGAATCAGAAGAGCTTGGCTGCACATCAACCCTGTCCCCTCAATTTATAAAACTGAACCACAGTTCCTCTCTGTATTAACAATACCTGACCTGTTTACCTGAATGTGCTCTAAGGGTCAAATAAGATGACCCTGCTAATGGCCACCCACGTGAAGTTATTACTTCAACTTTTCCAATGAGCTTTACACCACATGGGAACATGGTCATTCCCTCTAGGTCATCTCAAGGGCAAAGAAGTAGGCCTCAACTGTACCCCGCTGCACTCCCACCTCCAGGGCCCTGCAAAGGATAAATGTCAAGCCCCAGGCCCTACTGAGCTCCAGAAGGATCCCTTTCTCAGCTTCTGTGACCTCACCGGTACTCCTCGCCCTCCAGCAGCTTCCTGTAGGTGGCGATCTCGATGTCCAGGGCCAGCTTGGTGTTCATGAGCTCCTGGTACTCCCGGAGCTGCCGGGCCATGTCCTGCCTGGCTCGCTGCAGGGCAGCCTCCATTTCCTCCTGCTTGGCACGTGCATCCTTGAGTGCCATGTCCCCACGGTCCTCAGCCTCAGCGATGGCAGCCTCCAACTTGGCATGCTGTGGGCAAAAGAGGAGCTGTGAGGTGGGGGCAGGTCTCACCAGCCTCTGCCTTCCTGCCTCCCCATTCTGTGGCGAGCACCTGGGCAACTTGCTGACAGGGCTTCACTGGCACCAGCCTACTTCCCCAAGCACCAGAGGACCCTGGTTAAAAACACGGGTTCTGATGCCCAATACATTGGTTCAATTCTGTTTCTGCCACTTACGTGCTACGTGATCTTGGATGAATCAACCTTTCTAAGCCAAAGTCTCCTCTTTTCTAAAATAGCAATAATCCTGGTGTCTACCTCATAAGGACATTGTGAGCATTACATGAAGCAATATACAAATTTGGCAGTGTCCAGCATAAAGCAAGCACTTAATAAATGCTATTAGTGTTACTATCCTATATAATAAAGAAGGTCACGCTATCACACCATCACAAGATGGCTGTGCTCACAGCACGGGCAGGGTTCCCATAACAAGCCATGAGTGATCAGCAGATCAGAGGCTGCATGGCATTGGTGAGTCATGATGGGAACCTCAGGCTGCAACCCCCCACCTGGCAGGGCTTGATGGAGGACTTCAGCCCACAACCCCACCCCAAGCCAGAGGACCTGAGGCTGCACTCCCAGCCCAGCGGGGCTTGACAGGGATGGGACCAGCCAGGTCTGGATCTCATCCAATGGGGGTGGGGCTGGCTAGGGTTGGGTCTTATGCGATTTTGAGGTACACATGGATGAGCGGGGACTTGACTCTGGGTCCTGCAGCACGCTCCAAACTCTGACAAGAGGGAGATTTTCATATACATTTTACTAATTTTCTTTCATCTCTGACACTTCTATTATAGAGAAAGGGCAAATAGCAATATTAAAATATTTCCTCTAATTAATTCCCTTTTTTTAATATATTTTATTGATTTTTTACAGAGAGGAAGAGAGAAGGATAGAGAGTCAGAAACATCAATAAGAGAGAATCATTGATCAGCTGCCTCTT